ACTCAACTTTAATATAAAAGAAAACTTGTCTAAGATTTTCTTACCATTTTTATATGCAAAGATATGAAGTTAAACTATAAAAACACTACTCATAAAAGAAACTATAAAGACTTTTTAACGCAGATGGCATTCATAAAAAAATTGATTAGAATATTGAAATGTGCAATCTAATTCTTGAAACACATTAAGCTTGCAGACAACTTAATGCTTAATATTATTTATGTACGCAATAAAAGAATCGAATAGTCATTAACACTTTTAAAAGGTATTTAGGTCGTTGAAATGTTGAAACGTCGTTATGTATTGAATTTTTTACTCGATTAATTGCAGGCCAAGCATTGCGGTTGGTGAACTTGTGTTGAAAGTAACGCCTCACAACATGCAGTTTCACTTAGTATTCTTGCTTGTTTTATTTATTAAAATTAAAATTAAAATTAAATAATATTAAGTATTTATGTGCGTGCATATTGTGTATCTATATCGTCGCTTTTTCTGTAGATTTTACTTTAAACTTGGCATAAATAAACTAACTAAAAAAAATATATATAAAATTCAAATGAATTTTAAAACAAGTTACGTTTTTTTTAAATCGAAATCAAATAAAATTTTAAAGTTTATTAACTTGTTTCATTTAATAATAACATATATGAATTAATATATTTTAGTGTATTTATACATTTTTCTTTATAACTATGTATAAATGGTCTGCAATTCAATTGAGATAAAAATTTATTATAATGATTGTTATATATGTAAATTTATATCTACATATGTACTCGACTGTAGAAACGTGTTTAAGTGCTAATCTGTAGCTTTGCGGTGATATGACATTCCATAATGTTGACTTCATATATTAAATTATTATTTTTCATTATATTTTTTTTTTTTTTGAATTGTGTTTTTGTGCAAATTATTATAAATTAATTTTAATTTAAGGTTTTTTTTTCAAATTTTTTGCTGTTGCTAAATGAGATTCATTTAGATAAATGAAGGTTTCATAAAAAATAAATGAATTTGAAGTTAATTTATAATAAAAAGAGATATTACAAAAATCCCAAAACGTTCTTATGTATACTTTAAACCTGTATTTTAATTTTTTTTAATTTCATTATTATTATTTTTTAATTATTGTATTTCAGTTGTTGACTTTTCACAAAAAAATTGCTTAATTTTTAAATATTATTTCATAAATTATCGGCTCATTTGCTTTATGCGAAATTTTTTATAATTTTTTTTTCTTGTTGTATAATTTAAAAATAATTTCATTTCATTTATATTCATTTTGTGTTTCTGGTTAATATGAAAGATAAATCGAAACATGTGTAGATATTTACACAAAATGATTTTATACTCACAATAAAGAATTTGTATTTTATAAGAATTTAAATGAATTTTTAATTTGAAATAATAAATATTGTGTAGAGTTAATCAATCAAAATGGAATTTGTTTTGATTAAGAAAACGAGCAATTAAATTGATGTAATCATAACTCTAATATTCATTTATCTTTTCATATCGTTTAACTTTAAAACTTCCTGAAACGTAGGTGCAAATCTCAAAATTAAAAAATAATTGAAATAATCATAATATCATAAAAAATGTAATAGATACACATATGAAATGAACAGACTTAGCAAAGTAGCTTAAGCAATATAATTTTTATATATTAAAGAGAGATATAATATTGCATTATAATATCGTGCAATTTTCTAGCAATTTCTTTATGCTAATGTATTTCCATTTGCACAATACAAATACTTTCAATTAAGCACAACAGCAAAAAAAATCGATCTCATAACACTCAATTACAATTTCACTACTTCTGGGGTATCGAAATCGATATCGATATTTTGCAGCACAGAAACCCAAAGTGAAACCGCAGTGTAACGCCAAAACGCACTTGCCAGGCGTTTTTTGTGCTACAAATAACTTCATTCATGCGTTCAGTTTTCTATGCAATTCGACCCAAAAGCACCAATAGATTAATATAAAAAAAAAAATCTTTAAATTATATATGAAGTAAACAAAATCATTCGATATGTATAAATAACTTCTCTTCCGCGTTTAATATACATTTTTTTTTCTTATATGTATATTTAATATCTCAACGTTTTTTGCAATTTCTCCCCTGTATTCACTTCATAACGATCTATAGTTTGGAAATTACAATGCATAGACCGGTGTAGCGTCGAGCGTCATTAAATACTATTATTTTTAAATATACATATATATACGAAAAACTTATAGTTCCTTCTTATTGTATAATAACTACTATTATTAATTATTAAAGCATAATTTTTCTTGTTGACTTTTGTTTAAAAATGAGAACACCCCCTGCCTGCCCATTTCTCAGCCGCAAAATCGATAAATTGCCAATTTCAAGCTTCATTTTTGTGGCTTCTCTGCAAACGATTTCAGACTTCGAATAAATTAAAAATCAAACAAAAAAAAAATAAATAAATTTGCAAATAAAAACAAAAATGAAGTCATTCATACACTAATTTGATAATAAAAGCTTTTATATTTATTTTATTTTATGTATTTTGTAAATATATATCTAAAGAAACCTCACCGGTATAAGCTGTAGGTTTTCGTTTGTATAGCCAACTTGGCTTTTATTAAGTCTCAATGAGTGCCACAAGTGAAATGCTAAGAAATTCACTTTCAGTCTGAGTAATTCTTCAAAATGAGGTTGCCTTTTTGTTGTCTATCTATTTATCTATATGTATAGTAGGTGTCTATGCTGTGATTTTGGTGAAATTTTGAATATTTTTTGCTGATTTTATTAGCAATAGAAAAAAATATATATTGTACTAACAATATTTAACAATATAATGCATAAGTAAAATTTAAGTTTTCAATATATATTTAATGTTTTTTTTTTATTATGTGAGACTATTTACTTACAGAAAAGTAAAAGTGTAGTAGAATTCCAATTTTATTTTATGAGCCATGGAAGTTAACAATATGTAAGACTTAAGAAACATAAAACATCGTTAATAGTTAATAGCACTAACTAAAATAACTAAATCTGTAGTTGAAAAAGTTGAGTTGTTAGTATAGTCACCACATACATAGTTTACTATATAATAAGCTAACAAAATAGCAATTTTTGATACTCCACTTGCAACGATAAATTTATATAGACCTTAACAAATTTTAAAGATAAAAACAAAATTCTAACGTACACAAAATAACAACATTGTTATTGCAAATTTATAGATTCATATGTTTTAGAGTTTAAAAAACTTCTTATAGGATAGAACTGGCAGTTTACCTTACGAGTTAAATTAAATTGCCTTAACATCTTGAAAAATGGATGGGTCTGAGATGTTACAAAATCATTTTAGTTGAAAAAAAGTGAGCTAGCCACATTTATTAAAACTGCCTGACTTTGACTTTGACTTACTTTCATTTCCGCCTGATATTTGCAAATTGAGAATATTAAACTTAGAGCTTTTATTTCCGCTGGATATTTTTGAATTGGTAAGTATACACTAATGATGCTTTCGATTCGTATATCTGGCTTCAAACTAGTTTTTCTCCCGATTTGTAAAATTTTGTTGTCCAATCGATCATTTAAAGAGTAATCTAACATTTTTGTGGTAGTATTAGTAGACATTTATATTTTTCATAAATACCTATATGGAATCAAATCACACGTAACCTATCAAATCCTATAAAACAACTGTTAATTTAAGTATAGTCTTGTTAATCTGGCAAAATATCTAGAGTTATAAAAATTACTCTCAAGTGTTATACATTTTACTCGAGATTTACCTATTGAAAATGAAAGTTGCACTAAAAGTGAATCTCGATTGAAAAAGTTATCCCAGATTTACCAATTGAAAACGGCATAAGTTTGTAGATAGCCAATTATTTCATTTTAGGTTTTTAAAAATATGTATATATGAAATATAATTGATAACTTTTTAAAAGAAATTTAAACAAAACAAAAAATACATCTTTTAATACTTTATTCCAGATTTTGCAAATATACAATTACTCACTATTTCGCAGAATGTTAAAGTCTGGGCTCACTGAGACACAAATAGAGTGTGTACTAATAGAAAAAAAATTTATATTTTATAAAGCTTTTTTTTTTGTTTTTTATGTATCGTCAATGATAACATAACTCTAAGCTCCAACCTTTTACATATAGGCCGTGTGCGAGTTCGAGTAAATTGATGGTAAATTGAGGGAAATAGTAAATTATGTCGGTATGGCAGTGAATGTTGGTATTTACCAGAATTTCGAGTAGGGTAAATTAGATAAAAATTAGCTAAATTAGGTGTTAGAAATTTGATAAGATGTTTAATAAATAAATAAATAAATTAGAAAATTTTCAACCAAAAATCAAAAATAAATAAGTGCAATAAATAAATCAATAAATATTTACATAAGTGCAGTGCAAAAAATCTCTAGGAAATTTTAATTTACCTCAATTTACTCGAACTCGCACACGGCCATAGTATTTAAATTTCTGTTAATTTAAAAAAAAAACATTTCTAAGAGATAAGTATAGGCATAAATCATTGACTAGATTTACATAACTTTACGAGAACCAACCTCTGCGACTCTTATGCAAATTAAGTAGACTGACTATGTTATTGATGTTATGGTCATTTTACAAGAAAATCTTAGAGAATATAAATTGTGATCAATGTATTTTTGTATTGTATTTTCTAAGAACATGAACACTTGGATTATACAGTCTTATCACGAGCAGATAAATATAAAACCTTAACTGCATTAAATATTCATGAAACTATTATTGTATCTAAGACCGTACCCACATACCTATAAGCATAACATTCGTGGCACCTTTAGACTGATATGCATAGCAAATTAATCGGTTTTTATTTGCCTATAAAGATGATAGTACCATAAATTCTTCTTTGTGATTTTTGTTATGCTGGCATTAAGAGCTCAACGTTTCTTCTCAAATAATAATAAAAAAATATTTAATAGTAACAAAAATTAATCCTCTTTGAACTTACCTTTGGGATACAGAATACGGTACGATTATTGTACGGAGTCGCCAACACAAAAATATCAATAATAAAGTATAAATTCCAAAAGTCTTGATAAGAAACGAGTTCCGTCACTTTATGAGGAAAAATTTCCGCTTTCCATGAATTCGTTAAGCAATAAAAGAAATGTAACAATTTTTTTCACTTATTGACAAATCCAATTAGAAATGTTTTCCTTTAACCTGTCTTGGTCTTGGCTTGTCTTGTCTTGCCTTGTCTTGTCTTGTAAGAAAATCTGTAAAAGTGCGCACTTTACAGCTTTAAGATTTTTCTGTTTTTTCCTTTTTTTTGCTTCAAGTTGTTGCTTTAACAACTTTCGTTGCACTTTGCACACAAATCAAAACGAACACAAAAGAAACGAAACGAAACGAAAATAAAAACAAAAACTGTAATAAAATGAGAAACAAAGAATGAAGTTAGAGTTAAAGTTAGAAATGAGCAAAGCAATAAGAAACTAGAATGTGTCGTAGAAGTAGAAGTAGAAGTGGTGCGCGTTTGCTTAGCGGAACTGTGTGGAAGATACCAACAACAACACTTGCGCAGACGAAGAATTGTAAGAAGGCCAAAATGTGCAAACAAACACACACATACACACACACACTCACAAGAAACAAGAAGCCAAAGTATGAATGTCAAATGCTCGCGCACAAATAAAGAGTAACAAAAACGAAAAGAGTTAAGAACGATATAAATATAACAAAAAAATTGAAAAAAATAAAAAAAACTAAAAAACAAAAAAATTGAGTTAAACCGATTTTAATGGCATTAAAACACGCACACAAACAGTCAGCGCGATTTCTAACACTACAGTGTTGTTGCTGTCAGATACTCACACAAATGCACACACACACCTACATTTGTGGAATGCTTTAGTTATTGGGGTGGTGTGGAGTAGAGCGGAAAATGTACGAATTAAGGTTCACTATTGTCGTTGTTGTTATTGTTAGAACAACAATAATGTTGATAATGACAAAAATTATAAAAAAAAGATAAAAACACAATAACAACACGATCTTTTTATTGCGGTATACTCGTCGTATTACTTATTTGCTTCTTTTCCTTAAAATTTTATAATTTGATTTTCGATTTGATTGAACAAAGAACCAAGTTTTTTCAATATATTGAAGCGTTTAATTGGCTTAAAATTATTTTTTTAATTTGAATTGGTAGTTTTGATTTTTTTTTTCTCATATATTTCTAGTAAGAAACTTTATTGTTAATAATTTCTATGCAATTTAAAAATAACTGTTTTGTGTAGAATATTTAATGAAGCTAATTTATTGGTGTTTAATTTTGTTTTTGCATTTCTAAATGAGAAGTTTCACTTTGCCGCAATTTGTTTTCAATCCATTCACTTTTTTTTTATCATTTCCTTTGTTGCTGCATATATAAATATAATAAATTTCGCACAAAATAAATAATGAAAAACACTTTTCTATTGCTTTTTTCTATATATGCCATGTTAAATATGCTTGAGCAAGTAGAATATCATTTCATTTCTTTACCATCCGCTATCGACAACCATCAACGACGACAAACACGAAGAAACTAAATTTGAAAAAACGTTAAACTTAAAACAGAAACTCGATTTTGACTGCTGCGACGCTAGCTGACGTTAAAGACGCTCAAAAAGACGTTAACAGCGACTTCACCGCAAATCACTTGTCTGCACACTGAGTTGTTGTTGTTTTTGTTTTGCTTTTTTCTTAGCGCGTTTCTTTTGCTAATTCGTGGTTTGTTACTCGTGTTGTTGTTATTATTGGTTTTGTGGCCGTTGCTGCTTATTGGCATCGCCGACAATAACAGCCAATTTTGTTGAAGCCATGAACACTAACTGCGTCAACGAATGTGCTATGCTTTGCTTTGCTTTGCATTCACAGAGAGCGAATATAAATTGCATAGAAAAGTTTTTAGTACAAAGAGCGCACAAATAACAATACTGAATTAGTACAGTACTAAGAGAGAGTGGCGTTTGCAAATTAAGAAAAAAAATATTTTGTGGAAAACTGTTAGAAAATTTGCTTACAAAAACAAAACAATATTTTTTGTATTTGTTGTTTTTGTAGTTTGTTTTTCTTTATTTGTGTTGGATTTGATTTTAATTTAAGCTTTATGCGCCGCTTCGCTAAAATAATTTAATTTTTAAATATATAATTATTTTAATGTTTATCTAAATTAAATACTAATATAAAAATATAAAATGTTGTTCATATTTTACACAAAATTTGTTGGAAGTTTTTAAAAGACAAAATCAGTGGATGTAAAGGTCATTTTATAGTCAATTATAGTTATTTTAGTCGACAAAAAAAAAACAAACAAAAAAGGCATAAGGTATATAAAACTATAGTTAATAAGTTGCGGCAAATAATATTTATAATAGAATACATTCCATAAAACATTTTAGGAGGAAACCATTTTATTTCAGTGAAACATGCGAACCAAAACGTAATTTTTGACTTACTCTATATAATTTTTGAGTCTTAATTCTAAGACACAATGTGGTGGGAACGTATAACAAACGTTTTCAACTCCATTATGTTGAGTTCCTCACACCCAATTTCCCTGCTGTACGTCCATGCTTTCTGGCTTAGATGAACATAGTTCGCTAGGTATTAAGCCTCTTCTTCTAACACCTCTTCGTTGATTACTGGAATGGTGTTGCATCCGCTGCTCGCGGTTGAAATCTTCCATATTCATTCCTAAGAGGTGGTTTTAGTGGGTTCAAGTCTCACACTGTATCTTTCGATGCTCTCCACATACTACACAAAAAAAAAATTATGTTGAGTTGAACGTATGTATATGATAGAATCATAGAACGACAATGTGTGTCTATCAGCTATCGAAGAAAGAACACCAGAACACTTGCAGTGTCTATGTTCAGGCTTGACCAGAACAAGGCTTAAGTTTATGAGGACCACCTTCTTCAAAACACTCAGTGATATATCTAGTTTTAGCATAGCCGGCTTTTTTAGCAAATTAAAGATGATTCGGACACTGAGATTGAGCTTAAAATTTGGTAGGGCACAAGTTCAATCGTCGGTCTCAAAGAACTATTTACGAAATCTTAAAAAGATCACAGCTGTATATTTAGCCAAAAATTCAATAAATAAATATATAAAATATATTTGGTAATTTACTAGTGTCCTTTGTAACCTGAAAAAGTCATTAAACAACCAATAAAAGTCTGAATACCACAATATTTCAAAAAAATATATAAAAATATGGAAGACGCTAAAAATCATAACATGTATAATAAGTAAACTTAAAAGAAATTATTTAGAAAAAATACTCAAATTAAAGATAATTTATTACTATTCCCAACGACTAGACCATGAAATAAATTATTAATGATATGTAACGTTCGCAATTTCCTACTAGGATAGTAAAATATTTTATTGCAGTTGTTACAGCAGTTGTTACAGCAGTTGTTAATGATTTTTGTTATGCCACCAAAGACCGTTTTAATATTACGATCTTTCTTATGCATATAGTAAAGACCGTTTTTGGTTATGGTTTTTGTAAATAATTGGTTTTGATCTGCGCTCAGCATGACAAAACGATTGTGGTCTTTACTACTGGAACATGCATATATACGAAAGACCACAGTGATACGGTCTTTTGTTTTTAAAAATATTTTAATTGAATATCGTACTTATATATTTTTGTGACTCGTATCGTAAACAACGCGCATATACGATCTATAATATAAATGTCATTTTCTAATGATAATGTGCGGTGCTTGTATCCGTTTAGCTATTTCGAAACCCATTAGGAAATGTTTGTGGTTACGACATTTAAGAATTTATTTAAAACATTTTATTCTTTAGTAATTTTTAACTCTAATTCAACGATCATTATCTAATAACTTATTTTTTATTTTGCAGATATTTTTCAATGAATTCGAATCTTTCGAAATATTTGAAAACACAAACAAAAATTTTTGCACAAGAAACCAAAAGTGCTTGAACACTGCATATGTGTGCCAATAGAGTGTAGTTGTAACTAAACTGATGGAAGTTGAATCAGTAGATTGAATGAATGAGCAGATTTTTTAGGGTTTATATGTTGTGATCTTACACTAAACAGTAATAGCAAGAGAAAAAATCTAATAATAAAAATAGAAAATAAAAATAAATAAATAAAAAAAATTAAGTCTCAATGTCTGAATTGGAAATACTACTATAGTAAAACTGATCGTTCTAATATTTTTAAGTAAAAAAGTTTTATCTTACTAAGTTCTCTCCCCAGGTATTATCTTACAATTTAAAACTTTAAAATAATTTTTGATATACCATAGTACGGCTGCGATTATTTCTAATATTTTTGACGTAGATTTAAAAGATTTTTGTAAGATAAAAAGCTTTTGCCATATAATTGCAGATCGTGACTGGAAGACTAGACCAGCTAGAGGCATAGGAAAGCTATTTATTGATAGTCGGAAAAGTCATTATTTTAGTTTCAAAAGTTTTGACTTGAATGTATTGATACAATTTATATTACATTTTATTATTATTTAAATAACAGTCCTTAGCAAAGAAAAACGCGATACTCCCATAGACCTGGGATCCTTTGAGATACCATTATAAAATTTTCCTAACTTCTTTAGCAATGTAAAATAAAATTTCAAGCTTTAATGCCCAATCTTATATAGTTTTAAATCAACTGTACTCACCTCTATCGGGTTCTCAAAATTGCTACTGCATATGGATCTTAGTACTTGTCTGAAGAGAACCGGACGGAGTCGTAACTATTTTTCTATCGTCGTCATTCCAACAGCTCCTTAGAAGTTTCTGCTGAGGATATTCAATCTTTTTTAAACACTTGCACGCATACTTATTCCACAACACTCGGTAATAATAGATCAAAGTAGAATGACATTACTTCTTATCAGAGTTCAGAGGTTCGTATGAACTATTGTAGTGATGGCTTGAAATTCTTATATCATTGGTAAACACAGAAGTAACAAAACGGTTATTTATGGGACTATCTGATATAAACTTAATGTATGAAAGAGTGCCATAGAAACTACCTAGTAAAAGACTAACATTTATAGTTAAATCGAAGTTCATTGTTCATTTCATTTAAACATTTGTATCTCTTGTTTGAAGTTAAGATTCTGGGTGTTTATTTAAACGTAAAAATTGATTTTATATATGAGAAGACATTATGATTTACTTTACTAAAAGTCTGTTGAATATCGAGGAATTTTGTGGAACAGTACTCTCTATGCTCCCTATGCTTATATGCAAGTTTTATAAGTTAAGCGATTTTTGCTACTGTCAGTTCCTTAGTCTGCTAGGTATTAAGCCTATCTGCTCACATCTCTCTCCATTAATTACTGGAATGAAGTTTTCGCAGTGCTGTAGAAATCTTAGCCATTCATTTCTAAAAGGTGGTTTTAGTGTGTTCAAGTCTCACCTGCAGTCAAAGTATTGAAAGGGGTTAGTTGTCAACTATTACTTAAGAAGAGTACTGCTATGTTAGTTGTTATTTCTTGAAAAGCAATGATAATTACTTCATACTCATTGAATAGATATTTTTTTTTAATATACGTTATTCAAGTTAGGGTTTGGTATACTTCTTAGATACCACCTGGTATTATTCCTATTAATTGAACTCATTAATTTAGTCTTCGTCGATATCGCATAATTATGTTAGAGACTTTATAAATATCTTCAATTAATCTACATGTCGAATAATTATGGGGTGCTATTAATTTCAATAAGCTGTTTCTACTTACTAACTTATTCTTTTCTTTTGCTATTCTAGAAATTAAAACTTGTTCCTCTTCATCACATCTTGTACTTTCATTCATAAAAATTTCATTTAAATTCTTGAAGATGAAATGTGGTTTACATTCACATTCTCATCTTGTTTATCGTACTTTCCCCTCACCGTTTCTGTCGTTGCCTAATTTCTTTGTAAAGATTTAACGACTGATGATCAAAATCTTTGAAAATATGGGAGCAGTCACAAAGGCAGTAAAGTAAATCCATCATCAGCACATCAGACGGACGCAGCAATGATTTGGCTCTGTATCATTGGAGTTGCGCCGTCTGCTGTTCCACTCCATTTGCCGCAATTCGTAATCTCGTATTTATGACTTATGACTACTTCCGCTCTTGTTTGTTTATTTTCCTTGTAATATTTGCAGCTCCAATTACTGAGCCAATGCTGGCCATAAAAATATTGGCGCTCATTTGTAATAATCAGAATGATACGACGGTATGTTATGGAATTGTGGAGTAGCGGCGTTGCGGAGCTATGTAGCTACGGAGTTAGGCATAAATATTGCTAGACTTCGTCCGATAAGGTAAGACACAAATACATACTCGAATGAATTTAGCTTGTGTCATCATCAGTTGAAGCAATCCAACGCTAAATGGTTTACTACTCGCGCCTTGTATGGAGGCGGCGATTCTTGGCATTGATAACAGCCCCCGTGAGAGTTTCAGAGTTTCTTCAGCTTTGCTTTATCATAGTTTGACGCTGTGGATTGTCTTGCCGTTTATTGAGGAGACTTTATCAGATGCAGGCAATGTTGCTCCTACACACACTTTGCATTGAAAGACCAATTGTTTGTACATTATTATTACTTTTTCATATTGGAAGCACCAATCTTATTATATTTTACTTTGTCGTCTGTTTTTAGTAATTTTATTGATTTTTATTTAATTTAATAATAATATTGTGACTTGAATAAATTTCTTAAAAACATCAAAAAAATATTTAATTGCCTTATATTGTAGTGAGTTCAATATTATTTATTAGTTAATAATATTATAAAATAAAATTAATATTTATTATTAAAGAAATTA